CGTAAAATACTATTGGCTGGAATGTAGTACAAATGTTGTGTAACCGAAAATTTTTGGTGGTGCTCTTGGGGTAGTTTGAACTATGTGTTAATCACATGATTTAAAAAGGGCATGCCCATGGGCATGAGGGGCATGCCTTAGCTCAGGGGTAAGTATATATACATGGGAAATATTTCAAATTTGGCTCGACTTATGATTAGCACAATTAATAGATTACTTCACGCGTTTTGGTAAAATTTATTTCATTACATCATTATAGCCAACTGTCTAACGATAAATTACGCGTAAAAAAAAATTTTTATTTATAATTTCAAATTTATGGACTTGATATTGATTTCTTGTTTTTTTTGTTTTGAAGCAGAAGTTTTCGTCCCATCTTTTCCAATAATAGTCACATTCTAAAAAAAAAAGAAAAAAAAATGTTAGCGAAATTGTTTACCCATATGCAATTAATGACTGTAAGACTTACCTTTTGGCCCATCAGCGAATCCAACATTTTCTGTTTTGCATGCTTGTTCCCTAGTCCAAGATTCATTCTGAATAGAAAAGTTTAATTTATAGTTTCACTCAGCCAATAAAATTAGAGTGGCGATCAAAAAAATATTGTTAATTTGCACTGGCCAATCAGATGTAAAGCATAAAGTATAAGACAATTTTAAAACGCATCAAATTTTGCAGAAGCGTTCTTGTATTATGCTCTAATAATTAACCAGTTTTTGTAATACAGTGAAACCTCCATAAGTGCACTCTCTATAAATAACGCTTAAGTGCCGGGCCAAATATATACATGACTCTCATAAATGCATTTTTCTTGTTGTTCTCTAAGTGCACGCAGTTAAAGTTCGGTCCTAAGAGTGTGCACTTAAGGAGGTTTTACTGTATCAGTGATGATGACTATATCCATCACGTGACTTCAGATGGTTCTATAGAACAAACCCGAAGATTCGGAACCACCTAAGATTTTCCTAATCGTTTAGCCGCGTTAACCGTTCAATTCAGCCATAATTAAAATAATTGACCATAATTCGGCCCGGAATTATGAACAATTGTGCCGAAGCCAAATGATCGGCCGCATTCTGGGTCTTTTGGCCGATTCCAAGTATTTTTGGTTTCAGTTTTCAGTCTTCACAACAATTAGTATGCAATAATTTTGATCGCCACTGTATTATAATAATGTTTAAAAAAAGAACCATATACTTTTCGATAACTTTTTTCTCGCGTTCTTTCAACTTCTTTTCTTTTTTCTTTAACCGTTTTTTGGAAGCTCGTGCCCGTTTTTTCTCATTTGAATCCATTTCAGTATCACCCTAATAAATTATATATATTTATAAGTTCAACAATTAACATAGATATGAAAAATAATTATAATAATTTACCTTTACTTCTTGTTTTTTCTTATCATATACTTCTTCAGGTGCAAGTAATGTACCATCACTAACATGGACCGGTATAACTTCTTCCATAGCTATAGCTGGTACATCAGCAATGACTGAAATTTCGGGTCTAGGCTATTATTTTTAGAAATAAGTGCAAGACCAAATATAATTATTAGATCTTTTTTACACCGGTGATTTATGTAATCGTATGACTTACTGGCTTTGGTGTATAATGGAAATTACTCAAAGCATCTAATTTATGACACAATTCTTTAAACATATTTTCAATCTCTTGATGTTCTTTTTTTAGCGCATCATCCTTCTCATCTGGCATGTCAGATGTTTGTTTAATATAGCTTTCTTCATATATCTCTGCTAAGGATTTTTTAGATTTTTCATCCGACACTTCAACTAATTTTGAAGGTAAAAATGGCCTAAAATTTGGATCTTGTTTACGTTCAACGTCATCGAACGTTTCCTGAAATTAAAATCATATCGTCAGTTGTGCTTACATATTTATAAATCTATAAAAGTATTATTAATGAAAATTTTATAATTACGTCCAAAATCCTTTGTTTTATCATATCTTCAAGCTTAACAGTAACTTCTTCAGTAATAACAGGAGCTGGCTATAAAAGTTAAAATTTTAAACAATTAGGCATGTAAAAAAACTTTAAATAATTAGTGTATACTCACCTTAACAATATGATCAAATTTTAAATCCTCCTCTAATAAGCTATTTAATGGCCTATGTTTGTTTGATACCTAAAATATTATTGAAGCATAGACGACATGAATAAAGTCTCTGAGACACATAATATGTCAAAAATAAATTACCTCTCCCATAAGTGTCCAATCCTTATCAGCAACATTCTCCAATTCTAACTGCTCTATTCGTTTTTGCACTTTTTCTTGTTTTTTATGGAAGGGAGATTTTAGAACTTTATCCCCTATTTTATCACAGTTAAGAGTTACACACATTCTTTCATTGAAAAAAAAAATTGAACATGCTAGTAAGCGAGATTTATGATACCTTTGTCATCACTTGTATCTTTAGCGAAAAGATCATAGACCAAATTATTCAAGGATTCATTATCATCTTCATAATCATCTTTACTATTGTCAACCTCTAAATTGTCTATTAAACTATCTGAAGACAATTTTTGTTTCTTCTTTTTATTTTTTTTTGGTAGTGGATCAAAAAAGTCCTTATACATAATATCTATAAGCATTAATAATGAATTAATTAAGACTAAAAATAATAAATGATTTGCAAAGAAAATTATAATAATACCATTGGCATTTGATTCATCATCCAATTCATCGGGATCTGTTTAAAATTTTTTATACCAAACGCATATTAATATTTTTTAGATTTTGTAAGCATATAATAAAAACCTATATACGCATTCATGTACCCGCAAAGTAATCAATTTCATCATCCTCTGATATGTTATTGTCATCTCCTGTGCTCTTATTAAATTCCTCCAAATTGAAAAACTCATCGTTCAAACCATTGTTATCTTTGTTCGATACCTCGTTATCACTATCATTCTCGTCTTCATCATTGTCACTATCATTCTCATTTTCATCATTGTCACTATCATTCTCGTCTTCATTGTCCTATAATTATGTATTTATAATGAGTGAATTATTTCGATAATTTAGCGAATGACGGTGGTACCGGTTTCATACTTGTACACTCTCTTCAAAGAGTTCATCTTCAATATCCATGCTGTTGTTATCCGACGATTCGTTCTCTAGTGAATCATCATTAGAGTCATTGAATACACTATCATCTTCATTTTCATCATTTTCTTGTTTTCCAATAAAATTATCAAGTGCATCCAATTCATCATTAACATATTTCAAGAATGGATTGTTTTGCCTATCAATTTCGTCCCATATTTGCTCATTACTAAGCTTATCAATTACCAGCTCTTCAACCGGATCGTTATCTATTATTTCCTGCCATTGTATTTGCTCCTTTCGTTCTTCCTTTTTGCCTAAAACAATAATTAATTTATAAATTCGTTTGAATAATGCCTTTTGTCTATGAAATTGTTCTTAGTATACCTAAATCATACAAGTCTTTTGTAATATTTAGAGCTTCTACATAGGCACTTTGGTTTTTTTTTTGAAAAATCTCTGGTTTTGCTATTACATTGTCGAGAAAAAGGGAAAAATTTTGTGTAAACATGATCAATGGATGTTTGATATAAGACCGAATAGCGATTAGATTAATCGAAAAAAAAGTAATTTACCACGTGAACATGGTTTTATCTAACTCAAAAAATCCCGAATACGGGGGTCCAAAGCTATACTACCCCTACATTTTGATTTCAGAAATGATAACATGGTACTAATTAATCAAAACTATGTGAGGTACAAATAATACTGATAGTATAGCATAAAATGAGATCGGCAAAATCGAAGCATATTTACTAACAAAACCTATGTTCAAAAAAATAGCTTTGCCTCGTACAGTTTTAGATTTTTAATTAATTAAGTGCTTTAAAACTTTTCCTTAACAGGAAGTTTACTTTTGTTATCGTATCATGTGGATTTTAATGAAAAGAAAACTTTTTGTGATGAATCGGCCTTTGTTCATAAAAATTTAAAACTGTAATATTAAAAATATGGCTTTGCTTATATTGTATATTAAATTTTATTGCGAGTTTTTAAGTTAGTTTTAGCATTAAAGTTTTTTAAAGCTTCATTTTTGTTATTTTTACAGATTTAACCAAAATCACATTTAAATAATAATTACAAGAAAATAGTTTCATCACATTGTAATTCTTTATATTTATCTACTGATGATAAGTTGATTCACGATCATGGAAAGCTGTTGCATTATTGAGTTAATTTTTAATGATTTATTTAAATCAGCAAATGATTCTTATTTTTGCTTGATAATTTAAATCTTTTAAATATCAAGTTTATTGTAAATTTTGGGTTAATTTTACTTTTTAAGGTTCTGTTTTTGTTAAAAAGATGTGTGTTTGTTTTAATTTGACTATTGTAAATAAAAATTTAAAAGTATTGAAAGATGGATTTTTATTTTGTAAAATTTTAAAAATATAATCTCAAAAAAAATTCTTTTCAATTTAATACAATATACCTTATTCTTAGAAACATAAATTACAACTAAAAGGTGCACTTGAATTGCTTGCCAAAAAGTGAGTTGAATAAGCATCAAGTGATCATTAATAAAATAACTGATCATTTAGAAAAAACTATTACTTAAGAACTTCAAATAATACATAATATGATTTTTAATATTTCAAATACTAATGAACTATGTTTATCTAAAACATATGATTCAACAATTAATACTCTTGACAAAATATCTAAAACTAATCTCAAATCAATATTACATCTTCTATATATTATGAGATATTTGCATAGAAAAAATAAAAACCAAGTAATATTCCTTTATATACAAAATAAGGTTTTGAATTTTATATCAAATTCTCTTTATAAATTTGAAAAATCTTTGAATCAACTAAATTTTTAAAATAAACAGCTTCAAAAAAATATTAACAAACTGCAATGATCTAATAATTATATAATCTACAAAGTTCAACAACTTGGTGCCACTGTTGGTCAACTTAAATAAATACAATATCATTATATATCTCAAATCTGCATTAAAGCTAAATGATTATTAGAACTAAAATCTAAAAATATAAAAACAGTAATAAAAAACTTGATTATGAAAAATAATAAAGAATATAATTTGGAATTTATGAAACTTGTAATATAAGTTTCACAAATTAGATAAATTTTGTTTATTGCTGTAACAAAAAATATAAAAAGTATTTTTAATTTTTTAATCAGTAATGATACTTAATCTTAAGTTTCTAAGATTACTATTAGTTATTGGCATCATGAAATATCTGAATTGTATATAAAAAATATACTTTAACAAGTAAATTAGTTAAATTATTTTACATTCAAGATTATAGTAGACAAATCAAATTGAGAAGAAAAAAAATACTTATCAAATATTTAATGTTCTGAAATTTAGAAAAAAATCTATCTAATACAGTATTTTTGAAAATAAAAGATCTTTTACAATATAATTTTAATACTATTAATAAAGTTTTTGTAAAAACTTGTAAAAAGCATAACTTGAACACAAAACAATGTCTTATCTTTCTTTCAGACAATACAAATTATATGAGTAGTCAAACTAATAATGTTGTAATAAAATTTAATCAATTAAGTAAATATAATTATATTCAAATATCTTATAGACTATATATGTTATATTTAATTTTAAATAACTTTGAAAAAACAGTTTTTGGTAAGCTTCTAATAGCTATAGAATTTTCTAAAACTTATCATTTATATAACCTTCTCTATTTACATAAATGCTATATAATGAATATAATAAAAATGACAAAGATTTACTATTAAATATAAGAAGCAAATCAATTAAAGACCTTTATAAAGTGCAGTTGAGCTATCAGTTGACTAAGTATTAACAACCTTTATGTTTAAGATAGTAATACAAGTTGATTATTGCAGAACAATATCTTGATCAATGAGAAATTTATTTAGAATTTGTTAGATAGTTTTTTCTAAAACTTAAAAATTTAAAAAAGACACTTACTTTTTATATTCAAAAATAGAAAGTGTTTTAAAACTAGTTAAACAACTCTAAATTAAATATAGAACTTCAATGTTTAGTCAAGTTTGACCAAGGATTTTATCACCTATTTATAAGATTTCTCATTAGTTATAATTTACAACTTAGAGTTATATATTCAGATTCATTACAATGCTTATTACCTAGTTAGTATGCATATCAAATACTTGATTTTATAATTAATTCTATATTTAAACTTGTAAATATTCTGAAAAATACTTATTTGTTTTTTGGTACTGAACTTCTACAAAATATAAAAATAATAGTTAATTTAAAAATTAATTTATTAATTAAAAATTTGAAATATAAAATGCAAAAAGAACTTAAATTATATCAAAAATAGTTGAATTATTAACTTTACCTTCTTTTAAGTATTTGTTATCTTAGTGAAGATAACAGCCAACAGTTTGCATATAGTTATTAGCATATTGTTTTAAAAAAACTTTGGCTGAAATTTTCTACTCTAAAAGAATTATATTATATACAATTTTTAAAAGATAATATTGCACAAGAAAGATTTAAAGAATTTGGTCTTAAAACTGTACTTATCAATGATTCTTTTTTTCAAAAATTTAGCTTTTTTGTTGAAGATTCAGATGTCTTGCTTTATAAATATCTGCAACTATATGATTTTGTTAAAAATAAAATTTAGTATTGTAATAAATTTTTTTTTTTTTATATTAGTATATATTTATTTTTAGCTCTATATTATATTTTATAATTTTTCTAATATTTTTACATAGTTTATAGAT